GTCAAAAGAAGTATATGAAGGCTGACCAGCCTATGAGGGTATAGAGAGGCCAGTAGGCCAGAAAATACCCACCATATCTGGTCAGGATTGTCGTTATGATATCGGCACATAGTATCAACAAATAGTAGAGACCTTCATTATCGCGTGACACAAAAAAAAGCAAACGAAGTCCCTTTTTTTTTCTTTTTTTTTTTTATTTTTCTTTTTTTCTTTTTTTTTCTTTTTTTTTTTCAAAACTTGTTCCGACTACGAGTTGGCGGTATGTCACAGCCCTGCTTGACTCGGCGTTCCCACAAGGCCCGATTTTTTGCATCACTACATCTCAGACCCACTTCTCTCATATCGTGTTCCACCAGCTCAATCCATGATGGACGGGGTCTACCGGCTCTTCTGGAATACTTCAAGTGTACTCGTGGGTTCCAGCGGAGGAGTCTGTTGACTACGTGTTCATCAGGTAGTCGTAATAGGTGGCCATACCATCTTAATCTTCTCGCGCGCAAAACATTCTCGCATGAGGGCGAGCGTGTCCTCGCATAGAGATCACGTGATGATAATCTCGTCATTGGGGCCACTCCCAAGACCCGTCTCAGGCATATATGATAGAATGTTTTGTACATCTGCTCTTCTTCTTTGTTGATCGCTAGTGCCTCCGATCCGTAGAAGAGGGAAGCAAAGACTACAGATCTCATAATTATCATTTTCCCCTCGAGTCCGATATCGTGGGATTTCCATATACCACGGAGCTTATGCAAAGATGCACCGGCAATCCGTATTCTGTCTTTCACTGCTCCACGATAGCCAGGCGTATTTGTTACCAAGATTCCCAGTTGACGAAACTTCTTCACTACCTCCACTCGATCAGAGGCGTTTGCCTGTTGAACGCAGTTTATAAGGAGTCTCTTAGTTTTGCAATTGGGTTTCCCAATCCCGAGCGTGAGCCTAGCGGGGCGTGCTTCGGTCTCTAATACCCTAAGAGCTTTTTCGCTTTCTTCGATAGTCTTAGATGGTATAGTGACATCGTCCGCAAAACATAGACATCCGATTGGCTCTTGCAGTATACCTGATCTCACTGCGAAGCGAGTGTATCGGCGGTTGTAGTAGTTCTCCTCTGTCAGCCTGAAGCCATAGCCAGCGGATAAGATACTTTCGCGCAGTATTCGGTCCAGAGATGTAACAAAGATGATCGGGCTCCACACGTCTCCTTGTTTGACCCCAGAGCACAGCTTTATTTCGCATTCGTCACCGTTGAGAGTGAGGGACGCTACTGCATCTTCATAACTCTGATATATGATACGCAAGTACTTTGGATGAAGACCTGCTGCCCGTAAACAATCGATCATATACCGGCGGTCAAGTCTGTCGAATGCTTTCTCCCAGTCCGCCGCGAGTAGACATAAGGACTCACCATGTGCCAAACAACCATCACGCAAGATGTTCGTTGCATGTATAACCTCGGTCGAAGATCGAGATTTCCGGAAACCACACTGCGAATGATGTAGTCGTGAATCAAGGTAACCATCGATTCTGTTCAATATCACTGCTGAGTAAATTTTTGCAGCCGTGACTTGCGCCATAACTGTACGGTATGAGCTTACCTCATCCTGTGATTTTCCAGGTAACTACAACTCATCACTACGTCCAGTAACTACAACTCATGCTCATAATGATCCCTACAATGACTCCGAGGTACAATATGTTGTTCGTAGAAAGGCCTACATGATAAACCGGCATTATTTGGTGAATCAGTGCAAATTTCCACAGTGTGGAAATTTCCACAGTATGGAATCCACACCTATTGCTCCAGTGAGTCATTCCATGATATCATTATCATGTATGAGGAGTACATTCGCGTACAGGTTCATATTCCACCCGAACCATCTATACTCCCAACATCAAATGTTTCTGTAGTTGTTATCCGTTTCACGATCGATTTCATTCATTCCCAAAATTTTCACCTGCAGTGTAGGAGCCGACCCATACTAGGAGTGGCTATGTGTCGACTCTCCATTCTAGGGGCTTCTCTGAGGCTCAACTGAGTCAATAATCACCAATTCATCCGCAGGCTCAACTGAAAAAAAAGGAGCGCCACCGTCTGAGATTCTCAATTCAGATTGCCTCGTTGGCCCATCGCATATCGCAACATGGCCGGACGGGTGTAGTACTTTTATGTAATTGCTCAACGCATAGCAATAGATGCGTTGTTTTCAACTCTTCTAACGGAGTCTCCTTTATGAAATCGGACTTCTTCCATTGCTCGATAGCAGCTTTGAAAATGCCCCTACTAGCCCTACTGGCCATGTGTTTCCGTCGGGAATTCCCCGACCACTCCTCGAACGTGGTACACGGATGAACACAATGAATGATTACGGAGTGAACTAAGCTTTAGCTAGCTGGTAGCTAGCTAGTAGTTAGCATAGCGATCACAGCTAGGGCCTGTTGACTTCTGACAGTTAACCAGTCGAGTTGAGAGCTCACATAGCATTCAGGCAAGGGCTGCAAGTATTAGACATCGCGTTAGTTCGAA